TGCCAATGTGCTTGGTAGCAGCATCCTCAGTGTAATCATTGCAAAAATACAACATTGATTTCTCCCTAGGGAAAATGGGAGAATGAAGTGATTGGATGATACCAAACTGTCGAGAGACCAAATTTGGCTGATAAGCGATCAGGCTCAGGTGATTCTTGGAACTCTTAAAGCGCAATGGCATTATTCTGGGAGTGAGAAATGCTTCCCACAGTGTTGTGTGCTCTTCGAGATGAGGGTCCCCTGATGACTTTGGATGGGGCCTGGTGAACCATTCTGGACTAAACTTTCGACGGGCGAAAGGAGCCATGGTCGAGGTGAATTATTTTCTTCCTGCAAACATCAAAACGAAGTTTGCAAAGGTCTGTTGGAGTTCCAGCCCATCTTCAGTGGGAGTCAGTAAGGCTAGCCTGGTGCCTTCGATACGCCTTTTGGCTATCTCAGGAGCTTGTTCGTTTATCTGAGTTTTCTGAGGTAAGAAAGACTCAAAAGTGGCGTTTAGCCATAGTTGTAGTAGCCAGAAGGGTCCTGCAAGCAGCAAGCTGGCTCTATTTTCTATTACCTTCAATAGAGTCGCTCCACTGCTTATCGACTCATATAGGTTCGCCAGTATTAATTCGGCCAAACAGATGTTTTGACCATGGTGAAGCTGGGTAGCAAGGGTGACCACTTTCTTCGTCACCTGTAGAGATTTCGTGCAGAACACGAAGCGTGACAGCCAAAGGGATAGAAACGCAATGTGCTCCACGTCCGTCACATTAGCTGTCGATTTGTCATGATAGTGGTTGATGTAGGTGGTGTAAGTGGGTTTGGTAGCTGAAAACCCAATCTGGTCTTCAGACATTTCCTCTGGGTCAAAGTAATCCCCAGTTGGTCGAAGACCGGTGATGGCAGCTACGTTGAAGAGAGTGGGTGTTATCATTCCACAAGGCAGGTGGAAGGTGAAGTGAGTATAGTCCCAAAATAGCAAAGAGGCTACCAGCATTTCAGGGGAGTAGTTGAGACCAGTCTTCGACAGCATGACTAGGTCATAAATCCCCAGGTTCTTCCAAATCGAAGCCTGGCTTTTTTCCATCTTGTCGAGCCAAGCGCTGTAGTCTGGTGTGAGGCTAGGGCTAGACCTAAAAGCCCTAACCCCTCTGTTGAAGAAACGAAGATCTATCTTTTCTTTTGCAGGATCTTCGTTGTCATCTGCAGCCTTTTTGGAGAACCCAACAGGCTTGAGTGCCTCAAGAACCGGGAAGAAGCTCTTGATCTTCGTTGAGTCAGCAATGCATGCAGATAAAGGGCCAGACATGGCGAAAACCTGGTTGGAGTATCCAACAGGGATCAGCAGTTGAGAAGAATAAGCCTCACGCTCAGCAGTTCCCAAGGGTTCAGGAACCCTTCGCATGCCTTTGGAGTTAACTGTTGGAACAGTTGAAAAGATTTTTGGTTGGGCAGTTTTAGAGGGAATGTTAGAACTTGGAGCATTGGAAGAACGAGAACCTGAAGTCATTTTGGGTTAAGATGAAGATGGATGAAGAACAAAGTGTTTGCAGAAATTTTTGTTCAATAATAAGGCTTGGATGAAGAAAGCGTGAAAAGTCCCACGAGGGGCACTTAGCGCTATTTATAGTGATTGGAAAATCACAAAACTCGAGGTCATTTAATGTTTCAGACGATAGTGGGGCACGTGGCGCTCATTTGCTGACGTAGCCGTTCTGCATAACGGAAATGGTGCAGCGTGCATCCTCGATTTCGGGAAATTGTCATGATGACAATCTGTGAAAAGACATTGAGCACGGCAAACGCCTTACTGAGGTGACGTCTTAGGAACAGTTGGAATGATGGCTTTTTGGGATTGTCAGTTGGTTGGTAGGAGACGAAAAGCGCACGAGTTAATCTGTGGCTAAGAATGAAGGACAGGTGTCGGGTGGAATCTCAAAGAATGCCTTTTTCTTTTCAGCGTCGAAATAAGGCATTCTTGGGGGGCAATTTGTTGGCTCCTAAATTCGACACCCTTGTTTGTTATTAATATAGACCATTAATTATGAGAAATGGTTTCGACCAGCTGATCCTGTCGAAATGCTCATCAGAAAGTGGCGAGGTACTTAGAAAATTTCTTTTAAGTAGGAATCTTGTTGCCTTCAACGTCGAAGGGACTTCTCGACAAAGGTATTTGATGCCCCAGGGTGGAACGGTTTGAGATTCGAATGTTTGGAGGAAAAACGGTTCCCAGCAGTTACCAAGCGCAACGTGCCAAGATCAGGAGCGTCGAATGCTGTGAGCATGCCAAGTGGTGTCATCTCGAAGCAACGTAACTGCCCAACGGTTACTTGAGATGTGTTTAGTATAAATACTAGTTGTTCATGTAGTTTTCGGGTGTGTTCATCATTATATACAAGTCACTCATCTAGATTCAAGTACCCAGCGTGAGCGAAAGAATTGTTGAGAATGTATGTGTGAAACACCATTTAAATTAATCAAAGTCTTTTATATTCCAGCACTTTATTTCCTTTTCATTTACCCTTCTCCGTCGAAACCTTTATTTAACGCTTTTCATTTATTCTATCAAGCTTTTCTTCATGCAATTTACATAAAGTGTCTTTACTTTACTGGCATTAACCATCATTAGACTTAGTCAAACCCCAAAAAGTCAACCATGTCTTAGGATCAATCTGATCGATCCTGCGAGTCACCAAATAAGTAACCTTTTGGAGGATCAGCGGTTGTTTACCAATTTCCACGGTAAACAGGGGGCTTCTCCATAGACTTTAGAATCTTACTCTCAATGATTCTTATTGACTAGGGATGTCCTAGTTTCTCCTTTTATGGGTGAACTTTTACTTAAACCTAGAACGGCACATGACTACCCCAGTCCACTCAAGGGTTTTGAGGAGGAGACTGATGCTTTATGCTTTTATGAAGGTCCTTCAATTGAGAAACCTTGTCTCTTTTTATCCCAGTTGGCTCCAGTGTGACAACACATGTCTTCCTTGAAGCAACTTCATAAACTGTATTTAGCGAGAGGGGGTTGTGAAGGATTTCTCCAAGTGTTGAATTCTTACTTCAAAGGTGTGTGAATTTTATTGTTGAATGATGTTAAACATGTTATTTAATAGTTGGTTAGCACCTTGCACAACGAGGGTTTAGTGAAGAATATGGAGGTTAGGAAATTTTTTAGGTTGTGTAGTTAGATGTGGAACATGAATCTCTATTGGAGTAAATTAAACACATATGGCCAATTGCAAAGCTCACATCAGATCTAGATGTAGAGGAACAATCATTTCAGCATCTACGATGCTTTACGGCATAAGAAGAGGTGGTTGATTACTTATTGCTAAAGCAGAACCAATAACTTCTCGCGCAGCGGCGGACCTTGTAGCCTTAGATCCAACCATCATCGATGAACGTTAGGACTAAGAACCTAGAGATATGAAGAAATGGGGTTGAGATAGTGCTAAATAAAATAAAAAATAGATTCTTGGTTTCGATAGTCAATACTTGCTGAGGTGATCAGAAGAAGTTACGAACTGCCAAAGTTGGAGAATGGACGTGAATCCATGGAAATCATAGGAATATGTTGTTGATTCCCACAGACTGTGTCATTGTTATGTTCTAAAACCATAAATGAGAAGAAGAAGGACGGTGATGGCAGATTGTAGATTATGATGCAGTGGAGTAGGGGTACTTGCAAGGATAACACTCTAATGCTGAAGTCGGTACATGAGGAAGAAGACTGAAATGAAATTGAATTTGAAGCTTGTTACCTCAATTTGGCACCTAATATATATATATATATATATATATATATATATATATATATATATATATATATATATATATATATATATATATATATATATATATATATATATATATATATATATATATATATATATATATATATATATATATATATATATATATATATATATATATATATATATATATATATATATATATATATATATATATATATATATATATATATATATATATATATATATATATATATATATATATATATATATATATATATATATATATATATATATATATATATATATATATATATATATATATATATATATATATATATATATATATATATATATATATATATATATATATATATATATATATATTTGTCGTCTTTGCGGAGAGTCAGATATACTTTACGGTTGAGATCTTTAAGAATTATAAGGATGATGATCTTCGGATACCAGGAGGATTTTGGAAGAAGAGACACCCACCCCTAATAGTTGACCGAGATAAATCTGATCGGCACAATCAGGTTCGGGGTTGATCTGGTCAACTCAGAACAATATTAATTATAAATTGGTGTACAAATCATACACTAAACAAAGGATTGTTAGTTGTCAATTATATAAAAGAGTAATATATATTTTATTTGTAGTTTTCACTAAAAACATGACAAATGTATAATTTCCTCCTATACATATGTAATTTTCTCTTATTTTCACTTCCTAAATTATATTTAAGTACATTTGTCATATTTTCATTGAAAAATAATATAAACTACACCTAAGAAATTGTGGATAAGTTTTCTTCTTTCTTGAAGGAGAAAACATAGAAGAGAGAATTTTTTTTCATTTCATTGAAAAATAATATAAATCGCACCTAAGAATAAACAACAAATAAGGAGAGAAATTTTGAAATTTATTTAAAATTTAATTTCTTTTTAATTGGAATCATGGGGTGGTTGTAATAATAAAAAAAGAGAAAAATAAAATTATTTTTTAATTAATAAAAAAATTGTAATTAATTATTTGTAAAATTACCTATTATATTAGTGTTTATCTAAGAATCTATCCTATAAGAAAGTTAGTGACTCTTTAAAAACCAATAATACCCTTCTTGCTCCACAATTTGTCAGGTGTCTCTAGTCTAAGGTTCCAACATTCTGTTTTAGCAAATCCACCCAATATTCTTCTTCTTCTTTCTTCCCTATTCCTCTTCTTCTTTCTTCCCTATTCCTTTTCTTCAACACTGACTACATGATTTGCGAGGATGTAGAGAGATCTACAATCGAAGTTTTTCAAGGTAAATATTGAATTTACAGATATTTAAGGTAATATTTGCTCTTCTTTGATTTCCAGGTTATTCAAGTTTCATCTTTGAGTTTCTAACTTCCTTCGTCTTCAACAACAATAAAGGGTTTGAAGGTAAAATAGTAAGGTATGGTTATGTGAGAAAACAAAAGAATCGGGAAAGTTGGGGTTTTGATTTTGTTGGTATTCATAACAAAAAAGGAGATAATTTGTGGTTAGGGTTTTCTAATGGATGAATTTGAGTTTTGATTATGTTTCTAGTGTCCTGTTTTTGATGTCCGTATTAATTTGATTTTTGATTTTTAAGAATATCTGATGTTTAGATGTTGATGCAGAAAAGAACTTGGAACTTTCACTGACTCCGAGCGTCTCATCAGTGATGCTGATAAGAATCAGGTCGCCATGGACCCTATCAACACAATCTTCGGTTCGTTATTATAATATTTGCTCGATCTATTCAATATTTTGCGCATATGTTCTTTCTGTATATTCAATTTTGTTGCTCGTCCCGTAGTAATTTTGTTATATGTTTCAAAATTCCAAGTTTTGTATATTCCAAGTAAGTACAAATTGAGTGATTTTAATATTTACTCTCAATAATATACTTACATGTGACGAACTTCTTGCCGAGGAAATTGAACTTGTTGAATCTTTTGCATTGCTATGGTTCAATCAAAGTTGATTATAATATGACTTAATTTGGTATGGTACATGTATATTTAAATTGTCTTGATGTTTTCTTTTGAATTCAATGAACATGTTGCATATTTTGCATTGCTATGATTCAATCTAATTTTTTTAGTGTTGAACAGGTTTCATGTGTGTATGCTCCGGCATGGCTTACATTTGCATCTAGACCTGTCATGAGCTTTTGTCGTTTGACATGTTCGTCTTTAAGTTTTTCTCAGGCAAAACAAGTTTGGTACAAGAGAGAATTGGCATCTTAATATATATATCTTGGGTTTTGTTAGTTTTCTTGGTGTTATTTATTTTATGAATCGTTCATCAGTGTGAATATGATGAGACGAGATCCAGTGTTTGTGAGGAAGAAGCAATCATCAGTTCCATAATTGGTTAATCTTTGTGTTCAGAAAGCCATAGATAATCTAAGATGCCTTAGAAATGTTGGTCCTGTTGATCACCATCTGCTTGAGCAAATTTTGCCGCATTCCACGCTTGATCAGTTGATGCATATCGAAAAGGCCACCGAAAATAAGACAGGTTGTTGTTGTTTTTTTTAAATGCGAGTAAAAAGTTAGAACAAGACTAAAGTAGTTCTATAATTTGTTGGATTTGATTTTGCAGGGGAATTTGAGCCCTGTAACTGGCAAGTTTTATGAAATTTTGCTTTGCACTATTTATCTGCTTCTTGGAGTAGTTCATAAGAGATTAGTTTTGTTTGTATGATATGTGCTGGAAGCCTGTTATTTGTTTTTTCCTTCAAGCATAATTACTTTTTAACTTTAATCTAATACAGACACTGATTGAATTTGAAGAAAACTTTCAAATCTAAGAAACAGATTGTATGTACTAGAAAGATTTAGTTAATATGACTGCACTTAAAATGGAAACATAAATGTTTCTAAACTATCATTGTTGTATTCTTTATTTGAGCTTCTAATTTTTTTATCAATGTGCATATATTGTAGAGAAACTTCTTGAGGTTTATAGAGGTTGGGATATACAGGGTTTACCACGTGGTTGCTTATACTATTTTTCTTGATTTATGTAGTGAATGCCAAGTCTGTGCCAGCATCTTTTAGAAGTCATATAGCTAAAGATTTGAATAACAAACACTCCTACACACTTCTACAAAAAATTGTAATAATTAAATAAAGTTATTTTGATGCGAGAAGTCTAAATAAAAGCGGAAGCAAGAATTAATCTCCATTAACCGCAATAGAAAAAATGTCTACATCTCTATTTCACTATGTATTTTCACAATAACTTATATTTGTATATTAGGTTCCTGAATTGTTAAAGAATGTGCTTCTGTTTATTTATTATGAAACATATTATTGACATGCTTGCACATGTAACCTGAACAACGTTGGTGATGTTTTCTCTGCAGTTGGTCCCCTTGCCATCTCTGCAGCAAAGATAGTTAAGCGTGTTTTTGCTAATGACTTGAACCCATATGCAGTAGAGTACTTGGAAAGAAATAGTCGTCTAAACAAACTCGATAAGAATGTTAAGGTATGATTTCTGTTGAGCGAGTATGTTGGAAATGGGTTTAAATGTTAAATTGATATGTATATATATACACGTAACATCATGTAATTTTGCAACACCTTTTCATTATCATTTTTAATAATGAAATGAATATAGGAAATCAATCTTTTATTTAGCCTGGCAGGAAATGGCTTCACCACATTCAGAAAGGGGCTACACAGTTTAAATAATATTTTATTTTTATCATGCACGGTATTGGAAGACTATCAATGTCATTTCTTTGGAGCATGATATAAAATGTTTAGCAGTTGTAAGAAGTACCTCTGATGTGATACTGTTAAATTGTAATTCATAGTGTCGAAAAAATTAGATTTGTTTAAATTTAAATAGATTTGATTTAAGTCTAACATATATTTGATTTGATTTAGTAACAAAATAAATATTTTGGACTTTGGGTTTAGGGTGCAAGCTCAGTTATAAATAGAGGGAGTAATCCCTATTTTTTGTAAGCAAGTCAAGCAAGTCATTCACAATATTTTGCAGTTGTAAAGTGAATAAAAAAAGTTTTCACAGTTTGTGAGCAGAGAGAAACTCTGCAGAAATTATTTGTCTTGTCTTCTTTCTTTGTTTGTCTCATAATTAAATTATCATTATGATAGAAATTCATCATAAACTTTGGTGAATTTCTAACATCTGGTATCAAGAGCTTTGTTTCGATTCGAGAGAAGTATCAATCAAGAACAATTGAAGAATTCACAATGGCGAATTATGAGAATGTAAATTATCCAGCAACTCTACCAATTCTGAAAGTAGACACCTATGAGAATTGGTGCAAACAGGTGAAAGTGTTGTTCAAGTGTCAAGGGCTTTGGGACCTTGTAAAAGATGGAGTTGAAGCGCTTGGAGAAAACGCTTCAGAAGAAGAAAAGATGAAACACACAGAAATTGAGAAGCTGAGTTATAAAGCACTATTTATAATTCATCAATGTGTGAGTACAAATTTTTTTGAAAAAGTAAGTGATTCAGAATGTGCAAAAGAAGTTTGAGATGTTTTTGAGAAGTCCTTTGGTGGTGTAGAAAAGGTAAAAGAAGTGAGGTTACAAACTCACAAGAGAACCTGTGAATTGCTTCAGATGGAAGATAGTGAGAGCATATCTGATTTCTTCACTAGAGTTACAAAACTAATGAATAAAATCAAGGCACGTGGAGAAACATTAACAACAAGAGATGTTTCAAAGATTTTGAGATCTTTAACTCCTAAGTACGACCACATGGTGGTGGCGATAGAAGAGGGGAAAGACTTGTCGAAATTGACAAAGGAAGAGCTTCAAGGGACGCTTGAATCTCATGAACAAAGAATGAACGAAATAGTTGCAGGAAAATCAAAGAGTGATGTGGCCTTGCAGGCACATTCAGAAAAAGAGACCAAAGACAAAGGAAAGTGTTTCGGCAGAGGTAGAGGTGGCTACAACAAATCGAATGGTAGAGGAAACCATATCGAATGAAACATGTCGAATCAAAGAAGACCATACCAATGCAACAAAAAAGGTGGTATTGCAAATAGAGGAAGAGGTGGTGGTCGAAGACCTGATAAGAGTCACATTCAATGTTATAATTGTCATAAGTATGATCACTATTCGAGTGATTGTCCAGACAAACGAAAGAATCAAGAAAATGATGCAAAACTTGCAAAATATGAAGAAGAAGAAGAAGAAGAAGAGATGATGATGATGGTAACAACAAAATATGAAGATAGATTCAAGGACCATTGGTACCTGGATTCAAGATGTTCATCACACATGTCTAGAAGGAAAGACTGGTTTGTCAACATAAAGCCCTCAACGAAAAATATGATAAAATTTGCAAATGACAATACCCTAGCAGCTGAAGGTATTGGTGATGTTATGATTATGAGGAAAGATGGCAAGAGGTCAGTAATTTTCAATGTATTGTACATATCAGGATGAAGAGTAATTTGCTTAGTAGGGCAGTTGGTCGAAAAGAATTATAAAGTGTCAATCAAAGATAACATGATGAGAGTCGTTGATGCAAATGGGAGATTAATCTTGAAGGCTCCTATGTCTCAGAATCGAACTTTCAAGATTGAACTAAATGTGATGGAGCACAAGTGCCTTTCGACTGCAGCTAGCAGAGATAAATGGATATGGCATTATAGACTAGGTCATTTCAACTTCAGAGACATCAGAGATTTGAAGAGAAGAAATATAGTTTCAGGATTGTCAGAAATTGACATTCCAAACGAGGTATGTGAGGAATGTGTGCAGGCGAAGCAATACAAGAATAGTTTTAGCAAGGATGCAGGAAGCATGTCGAATGCTAGTCTTGAAGTCATATACTCTGATGTATGTGGATTAATCCAGGTGGATTTGATGGGAGGTAACAAATACTTTGTTACATTCATAGATGATTTTAGTCGAAAGCTGTGGATTTATCTGATCAAGAAGAAAAGTGTAGTGATCGAAGTATTTGTCAAGTTTAAGTTTATGGTCGAAAGCTCAAAGTTTTGAGAAATGATGGTGGTGGAGAATATGTGTCGAAAGACTTCGGCAAGCTATGTGAAAAGGAAGGGATTGTGTATGAGGTGGTGCCACCCTATATTCCACAACAAAATGGAATTACAGAAAGAAAGAATCGAACCATCATGAATATGGTACGAAGTATGTTGAAAGGCAAGAATTTACCTAAAGAGTTTTAGAGTGAAGCTGTTTCGACTGCAACATACATTTTGAACAGATGTCCTACAAAGAAGCTAGAAGGAATTACTCTAGAAGAATGTTGGTCTTATGTGAAGTCTAGCTTGAGTCATCTGAAGGTATTTGGATCTATTGCACATAGACATGTGCTAGATCAGTTGAGAAGAAAACTTGATGACAAGTAAAGTCAAATGATTCTAGTTGGATATCATTCGACAGGAGGCTACAAGTTGTTCGATCCAGTGAAAAAGAAGATTGTGATCAGCAGAGACGTGATCATAGATGAGTTTAAAGAATGAGATTGGACTGAAAATGTCAAGAAAGATTCAGTGGGAATCCTATTCAAAGAATCAGAAACTTAAGTCGAAAGAGAAGTTCGACAAGAGGAACCAACATATATACCAATTACAAGCAGACCTCAAAGAACAAGACGCATGCCTGCAAGATTGCAAGACTGTGTGATTACATCAGATGATGTGATAAATAATGAAGGTGAGCTGGTATATTATGCTTTCTATGCAGATTTCGAACCTGTTAATGCAGCTGAAGCATTGAATGATTCGAAGTGGATGAAAGCAATGAACGAAGAAGTGAAGTCTATCGAAGACAATAATACTTGGTCACTTATCAAATTTCCTCAAGGAATGAAGGCAATTGATGTCAAGTGGGTATACAAAGTGAAAATGAATTCGAAAGGTGAAGTAACTAGACACAAAGCAAGGCTTGTGGCAAAAGGATTCCTACAGAAAGAAGAAATAGACTTCGATGAAGTTTTTGCACCTGTTGCTAGGATCGAAACAATCAGGCTGGTTGTTGGTCTAGCATAAATAAACAGTTGACACATATGTCAGATGGACGTAAAGTATGCATTCCTCATGGACCCTTAGACGCAGAAGTCTATGTTAAACAACTAGTTGGGTTTGTGAAACATGACGAAGAAAGAAAGGTGTACAGGTTGCATAAAGCTCTATATGGATTGAAACAAGCTCCAAGGGCTTGGAATAAGAAAATTGATAGTTTCTTAAGGAATTTGTGAAGTGCACAACTGAACATGGAGTATATGTAAGAAGAAGCAAGAGTAAATTTCTTATACTATGTCTCTATATAGATGATTTGTTGATAACGGATAGCTGTAAAAGTGAGATCGGAGACTTCAAAGGTGATCTCAGCAAGGAATTCGAAAT